CAAAAAAAAAAAAAAAAAAAAAAAAAAAGAAAGCTAACTAGTCTCCTCTTTCAGCCTCTTCACTCCCAGTCCTCTCTGTTGAGTGAGAATAGTTATTCTGAGACCAAAATGGAGAGGCACTTGGCTTTCTGGGGCCTACCTTAATAATCATCAGACCTTTGGAAGTTAGGGAATGGCTCAAGGTCATAGCCCTATTTCTGTTCAGTAGCTCCTGGAACAGAATTGGATGAATGGCCCTGGGCTCTATTCAGAGAGGCAGGCTGGCCATAGCAACACAGACAGTGCCTCTGTATGATACCCATGAGCTGCCTTGGGAGAGCATCTGCAGTTGCTATGTATCACTCTTCTCCCAGTATCTGCAGGCGGTTAGATTTACTAAGCCAGAGTCGTAGAGCTGAGCAGACTCTATGAAATCCCCACATTCAGCATCTTCATTTGTTTGGTTGTTTTTGTTTTTTTGGTTTTTCTCTGGTACGGGAACCGAACTCACGACCTTGCGCTTGCCAGGCAGGCACTTTGCCACTGAGCTAAATCCCCAGCCCCAGCATCTTCATTTTTGCATTCTGAAAACCTGGATCCGAGAGGACTAAGGCTGGGGAAAGCCAGGAAGGCAGGCCTCAGTGTCCTAAGTTCTCAAGGGACCTTGGGAGAGATCAGAGATCCAAGAGCCCTGCAGGGCCTTGATGGTATTGATGGGAACCAGTATTTCAATTTTTTTTTTTAATCTTTTTGAGACATGGTCTCACAATGTAATTCAGGCTAGCTTTGAACTCATTATATAGCCGAGGCTGGCCTCAAATTCACAGTGAACCTCCTGCCTCAGGCTCCTGAGTGCTGGAATTAAAGGCATGCACCACCACGCCTGGCCCCTCATTCTTTTCAAAACTTAATGGAAAGTGAGTTTCTACCCTTGGCTGGTGATGATACATACACCAAGTAGCAATGAGGGGTCTGCACTCTTACGTGGCACAGGAGGGATTACTGTGGCCGCTCTTCTCTCATTGTGTTCATCAGCTCTAGTTGTTAATCATATAAAACTTGCCTTAGTGAGAAATGGACAAGCATGCTTTTAATAAATATGTACTATCCTAGATAGATAGAATGGGAAAAATAATGAAAGTGAGCCTTTGTAGGGCAAAGTTCACATGTCAACAGAGGAGTTAAGAGACCCAAAAAAGGAAAATAATTCCAGGTTGCATGTGGAATCAGCACCTGGCACCCCATCCACAGTGGCTGTCCCCCACAATGTGACTCTGGAGTAATAATTTCTAAAAAGTTAATGAGACCATGGGGTGCCTAAAACCTGTAGGACTAGCTTTCACTTCATGAGCAGCAATATACTTTCAGTATTTGGTATAAACAAACCAAAGCTATTGTTTGGGAAAGTAATGAGTTCTGTGGCAGTCTAGTGATCTCCAATAAGTGCTCTTTAGACTCTTGGGAAAAATTCCTTTGGTGTCCCTGGTTTGGATTTTGTTACTAAAGAAAGCAACACAGGGCATGGGGGAAATTATCCTGCATCTGTCTAAAATTAGAAGACCTTTTTGGTGTTTATTACATCGTAAAAATATCAAAGTCTGCTTCTTGAGATAAAAGAAGGTCAGAGAAGCTTTGTATTTCTGGAAAGTGCCAGAGATCCTTAGTCCAAAATAAAAATCACCACGAGCTTCTTGCTAAGCTCTGGAGGCTTCTTACTAAGCTCTGAGGGGCTCCCTTGCAGACATCTGGTCAGGCCCTTCGGAACGTGGTTCTTTTGTCAGGATGCATAGATGTAGACCAGATGTGCACTGCTGTTGAACTCTTGATGTCAGCAGAATGTATTTTATTAGTGCCAAAAGCTTGGCGCCTGGGGGCCAGCTGAAAAGGACCCTCTCCTTTCACATGGAGATATGACCTTCATAATGAGCTTTCTTGCTTTACTCATAGGTGGGAAACTACCTCCGTATGTTCCGAGGTTCTCTGTACAAGAGATACCCCTCGCTCTGGAGGCGACTAGCCACTGTGGAAGAGAGGAAGAAAATAGTTGCATCGTCACATGGTAAAAAAACAAAACCTAACACTAAGGGTGCGTCTTCACGAGGGTTTGTAAACCTGTTTCAAAACCACTCGCTTATGTCATGAAGATAAAACGTTTTCACTCCAGTGTCTTCACTGCAGCCTTGACCTTAGGCAGGGAGCGTCCCAGGGGTGGGGCCAGCCTTCGAGCACACATATGAGGCTCAGGTAAGAGCATGGCTCCGGGAGCCATTGGTGGTCCACTGTCAAGTATTTCCAGCTGGGCCGGTGGGCATGTGAGCGGGCCCCAGTAGGGATAGTAGCAGGTGCTGTGAAGACATGTTGGTCTCAAAACGTTTTAGGAATGCTGCGATGCTCTACCATCTGCCGTGGGCGTGTCTCCATAGTCATCCTCCATGCAGCTCTAGTGGTGGGTGGTGGCCCCAGCCCCCACTCCCCTCTTGGGCTTCCACTGCTTGCCTCTCAAAACATGTCCATCCCATAGCACTTCATGCCAGCAGCCAGTGTGCTAAGCTCATGTGCATGTCTGTTCCCCGTGGCCTGCTGTGTGCCTGGGGCTTGCTAGTGAGCGCCTGACACTAGTGAAACTAGCATGCTTTGGGTCATGGCAGCTCTGTGCAGGGCAGAGATGCTCTTTGGAGATTCCTGGGGCTTCTGTTAGGAGAAACTTTAAGGGAACATTTGGATATGGATGCAGTGTGCCTTTTGGCAGGTGGCAAAACTGCTTCCCACTTAGCAGAGGCGCCTTGGAGAGAGCTGCCCTGAGCCTAAGTGTCTGTGTGCGTGTGTGCGCACGCGCGTGCGTGTGCGCGTGTGCGTGCTTCACAGCCTATCCTGTTCGATATGTTTATAGGTGCTGCTGTGGTTTTGTCCACTGTGGGCAGACTAGGGGTTCTTTTAACGCAGGAGCCAGAGCTGCTTTTTTTCTGCTGCTATAACATTTCCACTCACTTGACTAAAACAGTTTCCTTTGTGTCCCCCTCTGCCCCAAGTGGAGCGCCGGTCACTAGCACAGTGACTTTCTAGCTTTACTTTCCCCTCTGCAAGTCCCTGGTGAAGTCTTGGTGATGCTTCTGCCTTGTGCTTTGGAGATACCTTCCCCATAACCAATTGATTCCTCCAGGAGAAGCCAGACTGGGCCCACAGACAGGTAACAGCTCTTGACCAAGAGAAGAGCTAGGGGTCAAGTTGCCATGAATCTGTCTTGTTTTCCTGATAGCACCGCCAGACTGGCTTGGGGACAGGAATTCCTGTTTGGTGTGAAGCAGCTCTTTCCAACTCTCTGGACTCTTGTTTTAAAAGAAAAGTACTCATCTTTCATTCCATCTCCCCACCTTGCTTCATGTTGTGGATTGCGGTGGTGTCTGACCTCTTCCCACTGCGGTACTCCGCTGGAGCTTCTTGAACCCTAGTGGGCTGTGCTGCAGCCTCTGGTGCTGCAGCTGCCCTAAGCATTTCCTCTGTCCCTAAGCCAGTGCTCTGGAGCACATTAGTCCAAGTCAGTCCCAAAGGAGGCTTTACTCAGTGGGACTTGTAAATAAAGTCCTCCATCCAGATTGCCCGTTTGGAAGAGGCATTCAGCAGTAGTAAGTTTGACACCTTGCTTTTCCCACTTCCTGCATGTGAGGACTTGATGTGCTATATCCAGTTGGCTGGCTGCTGTTTGCTACCACTCCCAGCAGGGTAACCGCAGTAGTGTCTCTCCACTTACAGATCATGGATATACCACCCTTGCCACCAGCGTGACTCTGTTAAAAGCCTCCGAGGTGGAAGAGATTCTTGACGGCAATGATGAGAAGTACAAGGCTGTGTCCATCAGCACAGAGCCCCCCACCTACCTCAGGTAATATGCTCCTGGCTCAGGTATGCTCTAGGGCACCATGGGATATCTCTCATACTCAAAAACAGCTTAGGGTGAAGCTGAACTATCTTTCAACACTACTCACTGTGCTCACTATCGTCTTAGCTGAGTTTGTACATTTCTTCTGTCTTTGGAATTCCTAAGAAACACAGAGCCAAATGTTGAATTCTGGAGAGCCATTAGGAATGCTCTGAAAGTAGAACTCATATGTCAGAAAAATTAGTGGCCCAAATAAAGTCACAAAAGAAACAAGCAGTGGATTTGAGTACATACAAATGTAAAACCTGTAAGAGTATTTACAGTGAGTGACAATTAAAAAGGCAAGTAATTACAAATTTCCTGTGCTGTCTTTGCCTATATACTCAGATTTATAAAAAACAAAACAAAACAAAACAAAACTTGGATATTCTAGTACAGTGGTGGCGAACCTATGGCATGCATGGCACAGTGGGATGTTTGTATCATCAGAAGCTTAAAGGTTTACCGTCATGGCTCTAGTAGGTTTGGTTTTTTGTTTGTTTGTTGTTTGCATGGTGCTGGGGATTGAATTCAGTGCCTCATGAGCACATGCTCTACCACTGAACTGCACTCCCAGTCCCTGGTACGTAAATAAGTAAAAGGATGATGCACATCTGGAAAATACAAGGGGAAAACAACAGGAAGAATGATTATTCTCATGTGTAATCTTATTTTTTTAGGGCCCTGTGCATGCTAAGTAGAAAGTGCTTTACCATTCACTCAAAAAACTAACAACATAGAGAACTGGGAAAAGTGGTAGAACTAGAAATAATTTAAAAATAAACTGGGTGTGATGATACATGCCTATAATCCTAGCAGTTGGAAGACTGAGGCAGGAGGATTGCAAGTTCGAGGATAATCTGAGCTACATAACAAGGCCCTGTCTCAGAACAAACAAATAGAAGAAAAAAGAATTTAAAAGAACAAAGTAAGTCAACTCATTACATGTACAGAGATGCTTTTTGGAGAGTTGTGAATAAAAATGGACACTATGGAGCCAATGAGTGTGCAGGCTTAGGGAAGGGCCAGATATTACAGGATGCGCCTACTTGAATGGACTAAGATGTTACCATATACATCATAATTACATAGTCTCTGCAGGACCCTGAGACGTGGCTCAACTGAGACATACAGAATACCAGATTGTACCTACTTACTCTGTGTTTCCAGCTGTCAAGAAAAAATGCATCTCTATGTACGAAAACCAGGGAGCACTAAGGGGGAAAATGGATTATTGTTCAGAGTGATGTGGTTGTGGAAAATCATTTCTTTCCAGATTTTCTGTCAACTTTGCTATTGGATTGTTTTTATGATTCCCCCAAGAAAGGTGGCATGCATCCAGCCTGGCCATTGTAGACGTGTGCTTGGCAGATTTTTGTTCCCCCAAGGGATGTGGTAAGAACATAAGGATGGCTAGACCTTCCTGGGAAGTCACAGAAGGAAATTATGCACATATGGACAGTACTTTTAAGTTTGCACATGTCAGCAGAGAACCTTTTATAGGTTGGTAAGTAATTTCTTGATGATCATGTCATATGAGGACCAGCTGAAGGAATAGAATTCTGTCGCCCTGGAGGTAGGATGACAGTTGTAGAGGGTAGCTGAGTTTTGAGCAAAGCAGCTTTGGCTGGCTGCCTGCTGTTCAGTCAGCCTGACAAGGGCTCTCTCAGGCTCCCTACTATATCACAGTTCAGGCAGAAGCTAGATGCCCCTTCTTGGAGTTCTTGGGAAGATCTTATGGTGAGGCCCGGGTTGGATTTCATGACTTGGATTCTCATATTCTGTGTATCACTGAGTATGTTACGTACACTTGCTATGTCTGTTATCTGTAGCATAATTTGCATTCTTTACTTGAGAAGGCTACCAGCTGAGGGACTGGCAGGGCAGCCTAGGCCTAAAAATGAGAGAGATTGCTCTCAAGACAGGCAGTTTTAAAGAAAGAGGGGTAGAGAAGCCTAGCACAAACTGTAGGAGGATATCCATCCCAGCTTCACTGGACTCATACCTGGAAGTTGTGAAGAACTCATATTCCCAGGCCCTCCTGCAGTGATGGCAAGTCACTCAATCTTGGTAGGCCATAGAAACTTGCTACTTAAAATTTTGCACTCTGAGTAAGCCATTTGTCAAGATAAGCTGAGATGGGGACCCTGGTCTTGCTTCCCAGCTCTTAGGCCCTGGGTGTGTGAATTCCACATTCCCCACATGTTCCAGGTCAAGGCTGATGATAAGATAGAGCAAGATCTGCAATGTAGGAGATTTGCTATACTCCTTGCCACTTGGGTACTATAGGTCCCTTCTTGCCCCCTGTCCTTGGTCCTGGACCTCAGTGTTGGATGTATAAATGACCCTAACTTTTGAAGAAAAGAGTTAAAAGAACCAAGGGTCCTATACCACTTGTGGAAAGAAGAAAGGCCTGCAACATGCTTCCGCCAGGTGCCTCCTTAGAGGGTGTTGTCCTGTAACTCATCACTTGCTGTGAACGGTGGTGGGCAGTACTTGCAGGAACTGTATGTACAGATGGTGGAAATATAAAGGTAAATGTTGTATATGGTCTTGCTATGGAAGACTAACACACATAGCACTATGGGATCCTAAGTGCTCCATCTGTCTAACCTGGCACTGGAGCCTCAGTGTAAAATAGTTCTGAGAATCTCCCAATAGTAAAAACAACCTGGAGTTCAGACAAGAGAGTGAGTCCTTCATAGGATGTAAGTTATTCAGATTACCCTGGGGGTCACTTCCTAGAAGATACTAATTCTTCTTATCTCTACTGTTCTGGAAGGTCAGAGCCCAGAAACCTTGCCAGTCTATCTTAGTATAGCCAGCACATTTAGTATAGCTAGTACCTGCCAGTAGTCCCAGTTACACAGGAGGCTAAAGTGGGAGGGTTGCTTGAATCCAGGAGTTCAGGGCCAGCCTGGCCAACAAAGTAAGAACCTTTCGACAACAACAGCATCATCATCATTATCATCATCATCATCATTATCATCGGAGTCTGATCAGATTTCTCCCTTCTACCCCTTTGGAGCCACCTGTTGGCTAGTTTCTTTTTAAGCAGGAACAAAATTTATTTGAAAAAGTAAAAGTGAAGAGTGAGTGAGAAACGGGCTCTGCAGAGTGAGCTTGGACCAAGTAAAAGAGGAAAAGGCGAGAAAAGAGAATACCCAGGAGAAAGCAGGGCGGGCTGTCATGAGGAAAGCCGTAGTAGCAAACACTTCTCAGCTTGTGAGCCCTTATGACCAGGGGCTCTTTATCTCGAGCCTCTAACCCCTTCCAGCACTGTCACCCCCACTGCTCCTGTGCTATCTTAAACACACTGAGAACCCTGATTCCATGTTGAAGGTTCTCCAGTGTTCACCCTACAGGGAAGCCTGCCTCTTTTGCCCCTTTGCCTAATCAGGAACATTACTTTATGGGGCCCATGCCTAGAACATAGTGCAGTATGCCATACCCAGGGGTTAGCAGCTAACTTGTGCCCTGGGTGGCGTCTAGCATCCTTTTGTGCCCTTTTCCTTGTCCAGATACCTCTAGGTGCCAATGAGAGCCTGGGGAGCAGAGCCCCACGGAGTCATGAGTGCACAGACATCCTCGCCAGGAGCCTATAGCCCTGCACAGTGTCCACTGAGCATGAGTAGGGGCCTGGGGGACAGACTTGGACTCCTAGTCTGACCAGGCTTTTTTGTGTGTGTGTCCCGCAGGGAACAGAAGGCAAAGAGGAACAGCCAGTGGGTCCCCACCCTGCCCAACAGTTCCCATCATCTGGATGCTGTGCCCTGTTCCACCACCATCAATAGGAACCGCATGGGCCGGGACAAGAAGAGAACCTTCCCCCTGTGGTGAGTTACGCTGCCACACTGGGCCCGCACACAGAGTCCACCTCCATCCTCCAAGGCCTTTTAGCTTTAGTCCTTGAAAAACTGTTTCTTCCAGCTTCCAAGATACTGTCCCTGGCTTTCCCTGGCCTCCTTGGCTCTCCCTGCTTTGATCTCTCACTTTTTTCTCCTCCCTTCCCCAGCACCTTAGTCAGGCAGCTGGGGGCACAGTCCCTGGACTTTTCTGTGCGCTCTGTTTCTCAGCAGCTGGTCATGGCCAATCTCAGGGTTTCACATGTCATGCTCTGCACTCCTACTGTGTCTGTTTCCTGTGGCTGCTGGGACAAACCACTGCAAAGTGGGCGGCTTAAAGCAGCACAAATTTGTTCCTTCGCATTTCTGAAAATCTGTTTTGCTGAGTCCAAATCAAGGTGTAGGCAGGGCCCTGTTTCCTTTAGGGAGCAAGTCTGATCCTTGCTTCTTCCAGCTCTGGTGGCTGTTATATTCCTTAGCTTGTGGCCACATCACTCTAGTCTCTGCCTCCATAATCACATGACCTCTTTCTTTCTGTCTGCGAAATCTCCCCGTGTTTCTGTCTTAAGAGGATACTGAGTCCGCTGCCATGGCGAATACCTTTCACTTAGCTACTGTGGAAGCTGAAGCAGGATGAACATAAGTTCAGGTCTAGCCCAGGGAACTTGGCAAGACTCTTTCTCAGAGTTAAAAATATGAAAAAAGGTCTGGGGATATAGCTCAGTGGTAGAACATTTGCCTAGCATGTGTGAGGCCCTGGCTTCATCTCAGAGGGCCCCCCGCCCCCGCTGCCAAGAAAAAAGACACTGTGATATAATATATGGCCCAGTTGGACACTCTCAGGCTCCTTCTCTTAGCCACATCTGCGTAGTCTCCTTTTTTGGGCCACATGAGGTAATGGCCACAGGTTTATGGGATTAAGACATAGATGTGTTTTGAGAGAACATTTTTCAGGCTCCACATTTGTATCTGCAGCCCAGACTCCCCATAGCTGCTACCCTCCCGTCTTCAGCCACACACTGCCTGCAGACTTCTCCATGTCGAAGCTTGGCATCCGTTCTTCCCCTTGCTCAGGCCAAGAGCCCGAACTCTTTCTCACCTCCTTCCTCTTTTTCATGCCACAAGTCCTACTTTCTCAGCCCTCCAAGTTCCTGGAACTGGGCCACCCTTGGCCAGCTCCCCATTGGGTCTCGCTGGGTGTTTGCACCCAGCTCATCTGCTTGCTGCGTTCTCAGCTCTGCGGCCAGCATGAGCGTCTTTGCCCAGGCAAATTGTCTAACTCCTGAGGGAATCCTCCAGACCCTGGTCACACTTGGAGCAGAGGCTGGGTTCTCTAGGCTGCCTTGCATGGTGCGGTTGCTTCTGCTGTGCTCTGCTCAGAAGCACTGGCCTCACTTCACTCCTGTCACACCATCCAGAGCTCCTCCCACACTGCACTGCTCACTCCCGCCTTCTGCAGGGCTCACCCCGTCCTCCCTCTGCCCCTTCTCCTTTCTCAGCCCTCTCTCCTTTACTTCCTTCTTTACCCCCATCCCTCCTTCCTTTGTTCCTTCTTTCTTCCTCCTTCCTTTTTTCCTTTCCTCCTACCACTGTCCCATCTCAGTTTAGCTGTCACTTCCCCTTTTTTGATAGCCGCTCCTGCCTCCAGCATTCCTGCCGCTTCCGGAGGAGCACTCATGGCGTGCCAAGTGTTTTCCTTCTCTCCATCTTCTGTGTCCCACGGATGCCTGAGGTTTCCTCTGCACCCTCTCACCAACCTGCCTGCTCCATCTCCGCCCTCTGTCTTCCTGAAATACAGTGTTTCCTTGCTCAGAATCTTGGGTCTCCCTCTGGGAAGGAGCCTGCTTCCAAAGCCTGAGATGGAGAACTGTCAGCACTTCGTCATCTCCTGGCTTTGCAGATTCTCCGGGAGCTCCCCCATATGATCGCTCCACCTTCAGCAGTCTGTTAGCTGCTCCCTTGGCAGTTCCTCTGTTTTCCTGCCTCCTGGCCTTTGTGTGGCTGTTCCTCTGCTGGAAGTGCCCTTCTCCTTTCTCAGTTTTCTGTGACAGTCCTGCTCACTTTAGCCGTGAGTCTCCCGTTGAAGTACGTCTAGGTCTTGTTCCACTGCCTAGGTCTGCAGCTTTTTGTCCCTTCCTTGTGTGTCCATGAAGCATACAGTTCTGCTCTATTACAGCATTTGCTGTACATACGCTGTTGCTTGTCATTTACGGCCCCTACCGCCTGAGTTAGACTGTGGCTTTGCGACCTCACCTGATCTCATCTGTGTGGCTTCAGCGGTAGGTGAGAAGTCCTTCTAGGAAGTGCTCTTTCCCCTCCAGCCACATTTATAATGATGTGAGGTACAGAGGGAAGTTGAAACTCATATTCCTCCTGCCCTAGACAAAGGGACCCATGGTGCCTTGGCTGACTGTTGCTGCTATTTCATTTCAGCTTTGATGACCATGACCCAGCTGTGATTCACGAGAATGCATCTCAGCCTGAGGTGTTGGTGCCCATCCGGCTGGACATGGAGATCGATGGGCAGAAGCTGCGGGATGCTTTTACCTGGAACATGAATGGTATGTGGATGATTGGTCTCAGCTGGGCCTTATATGTGGATAGCCTCTTTTCTTCCAGCTGTCTGTCAGACAGATCTGGATGTGACATTCAAGGTAGAGTAGCATGGTTCTTAGGTATGGACTCCAGATTCATCCTGGTTCTGCTGCTATTCCCTGTTCCTCATGGCCTGGGCAGATGTCTTAATCCATTTTCTGTTGTTCTAACAGAATATCTGAGACTGGGTAATTTATAAAGAAGTTCATTTTGACTTATTATTCTGGAGGCTGGAATGTCCATGATCAGGTGGTCACATCTGGTCAGTTTCTAGTGAGGACTTTAAGTTGCTATAACTCAGGGAAGTACAGGTAGGCATGTGTGAAAGGGACAAAACACGGACCAGAGTTGCTTTATAAGAGCTTGCTCTCATAGTGACTAACCTAGACGGGTTTGCGAGAGGGAGGGGGAACTCACATGAGAAAAACATGCGTCCTTTCATGGGGGCTCCACCCCCATGAGCCAAGCTCCTTCCAGTAGGGCCCACCTCCCAACCTTACTGTACTGGGGGCCAGGTCTCAGCATAAATTTTTGTGGGGACAAACCACAGCAGCTTGAGAACTCCAGGTTCCCTCCTCCCCAGGTGAAGCTGGGTGGCTCAAGAGACTGGGCGTGGCCGGCTGCTGGTCCACATGATTATGGCAGTGAAGCTTCTCAGACCTGTTCAGCTGCCTGGCCCATCCACACTTCCCCTTCGTCTGTGCCCACCACCCTCCTGCACGAGGAGCCTAAGGACAGGACTTGTGTGCCTAAGTCCTGGGCACATGCCAGCTCTTCTGGCCTTCTGCTGCCTTAACTTCCTCAGTGCAAATGCAGAGAGAAAGCTTAGAAGATTATATGCCCCAGAGCGTTTACAATGCTTCTCCAATCTGAGGAGGATTTTGTGTGTGTTTATTTTCTTTATTGATTTTCTAAGCCTGTTAGACTTGTTTTTATGGTGCTGGGGCTTATGCCAGGGCCTCTAGCATGTAAGGTGAGCACTCTGTTCCTTCCTTTCTTTCTCCCACTCTCCCCCTCCCTCTCTGTCTCCCACTCTCCCCCTCTCCTGCTAGTCTGTCTGTCAGGGTTTTTTTTGTTTTGTTTTGTTTCGTTTTTGTCTTTTTGAGACAGGGTCTTGCAGTGCGGTTCAGGCTGGCCTTGAGCTCACTTTGTAGCCTAGGCTGGTCTTGAACTTGCAAAGATCCTCCTGCCTCAGCCTCCCGAGTGCTAGGCTTACAGATGTCTGCAGCCACACCCGGCCATACTTATAGTCAAACAAAAAAAAGTTATTAGCATTTTTTAAATCACCAAAATCTTCAATATTTACAGTTTAAATGTAGTTGTAACTACAGAGTAGGTCTTGGGGTGTTGGGTTTTTTTAATGCCACTTAGAAGTATCTTCCTTATTTCTTCAGCCTTCATCATTGGTGTAGCATTTTCTGTTGTTTCAGTTCCTTACTTTGCTAAAACTCTTGCTAAAACTTGACAGCAGATAATGTATTACTTGCAGTATTTTTCTCCCAGAACGTGTTCGAGGTGTCTGAAGGGTGTGGCCGGAGAGGTTCCTGTAGGTTTGTTGAGTAGAGCGGTGGAAGATGCAGTGAAGTGGTACCACCTCAACTCGGGGACAGGGCCGCACATGGATATTGGGCCACCTCCAGTGCTAAGCATCATCACTCGTTACCGTTGCTGAGTTGCGCACTTACTCTGCTGCCTTCTGTTGTGGTTATTTCTCTCTCTCCCTCTCTCTCTCTCTCTCTCTCTCTCTCCCCCCCACCCCACTTCCTTTCTCTCTCCCACTCTCCCCCTCTCTCTCTGTCTCCCACTCTCCCCCTCTCCTTCGCTCCCTCTGCCCCTCCCTCTCCCTCCCCTTCTCTCTCCCTCTCCACTCTCTCCCTCCCTGTCTTTCTCCCTTTCTCCACCTCTTTCTCTCTCCCTCTCTCCCACCTCCCATTCTCTCCTCTTCCCCTCTCTCTCCCTGTCTCTTCCTCTCCCTCACTCTCCCTCCTCCCCTTCCTCTCCTTGTCTCTCCCTCCCCCCTACCCCTCTCTCCCCTTCTCCCTTTCTCCTCCTTTCCCTCCTCTCTTTCCCTTTCCCTCCCTCTCCCTCTCTCCCTTTCTTCTCTGTCCCTCTCTCTTCCTCTCTCTCCCCAACTCCTTGACGTCAAGGACCTTGTTTTTTTATTACTTAACCATAGAATTTAGTTGTCCAAATTTAATCAATATACATATCATCTTGTTATTTATTTTGGTGGTGTTTGAGATAGGCTCTCAGTGTGTACTTCATCCTGGCCTTGAACTCACTGTGTAGCCTAGGCTGGCCTCAAACTCATATCAGTGCTCCTCCCTCAGCCTCTTGAGTGCTGGGATTACAGGCGTGGGCCACACCACGCCCGGGATGTCTTGTTATTTTTCTTTTAACAACATATAGGAAGCTTTTACTATGTATTTATACCCACATCCTATTCCAGAAAGGATGTAAGACGGGAGACTAAATTAAATGAAAAAGAAATAGGGAATGCTGAGTGAAAAAGAAAACGAAGCTGGGCAGCGTGGAAAGAGACCAGTGCCCTGGTTCGTACTTAGTTTGCATTGGGTGTGCGTTGCTGGGAGGGAGGAATGACTCTCAGTTTTTTAGAACCAGGCAGAGATGCTTGATGGTTGGTTTTACAGTTCAAAGCCATGGTCAAGAATTGTATTAGCCTGTGGCTCAAAAGAGGTAGAATTATATATAGTTCCTAAATCTGAGCCAGCCTTTCCCGATGGTCCTCGTGAAGAGAACAGGGAGTGACATAACGAAGACCAGCGTCCATCCGTGACTCCACCATGAGTTTCAGTCCTGAGTTTCCTCGTAGGAATCCTCATGTAAAATACTATCTCTAGCCAGGCATGGTGGCACACACCTGTATTCCCAGCACTCGAGAGGCTGAGGCAGGAGGGTTACCACAAGTTTGAGGCCAGCCTGGGCTCTACATAGTGAGAGTTTGTCTCAAAAAAAAAAAAAAAAAAAAAAAAAAAAACTCCACTCAATGTAATTTATGTAAATACATAGAAGAACAAAACCATATTCTGCAAATTTTTCTTCAGCCCTCACTGGTGGGTAAAAGTAACAAAATGGCCGGTGTAGCCGGGTGTGGTGGCGTACCCCTGTTGTAGTCCCAGCACCCAGGAGACTGAGGCGAGAGGATAGCCTCGAGTTCAAGGCCAGCCTGAACTGCATAGTGAGACCCTGTCTCAAAAGACAGTGTAGGGTAAAGGACGTGGCTGAGTGTTAGAGCACTTGCCTAGATGTGTTAGCCCGAGTTCAGTCCCCGGTGCTACTGAAAAACAATCGAAAAACACCCAAAATTGATTTATGTTCTTTTCACATTTGTTTACTTTGAAATTATGAAGCAAAAACAGAACTGAAGAGAAATAAACAAATCCATAGTTATACTAGGAACTTCAACACCCTTCTCTCAGCACCTCATAAAAACTAGAAAGAAAATCAGCAAGATGATAAAAGAAATTGAAAACAAAAACAACCAGCAGCATCTAGCACTTACAGAACACTTCAGCACAGCTGAGTATGCATTCTTTTCTAGGGCCCATGGAAATGTACCATATAAACTGTATGTTGTAAAACACCCTCAACAAATGGAAGAGAATTGAAGGTAGACAGAAAGTATTTTCCAACCCCAACGCACTCAAATACTCACAGACTAAATAAAGACACTTTAAATAATTTATGGTTCAAAGAGGAAGTCTGAAGGGGAATTTAAAATATGCAAGGACTTGAAGGAAAATACAACTTTCTCAAAATGTGTGGAATACAGTTAAACTAGTGTCATGAAGATTGTGTCTAGCCTGTACATTAGAAAATGCGAAAAGCTTCAAAAATCTAGAAAATTAATGAGACATGGCTGGTATTTTGGAAGGTCAATAAAATTGACAGCCTCTAGTGAGACTGACAGAAATACATGACTACAAACCGTGGGTATCAAAAAGAATGGAATACTACAAACAACTCTACACACGTAAATTCGACAGCTTGTACAAAAGTGATCATTCTTTACAAAGCACAAAGTACCGTACCTCACCCAGTATCAAACCAGATACATAACTGGAATTGCTGTACACCTTTTTTTTTCTTTAATGCAGTGCTAAGGATCAAACTCGGGGACTTGTGTGTAGTAGGCAAGCACTCTAGCATTGAGCTATATTGAGCTGTATATCCCCAGCCATGCCCAGTACTATTAAGGAAATAGAATGTACAACTTAAAATCTTTCAAAAAAGCTGGCAAAGTAGCATGTGCCTATAATCTCAGCACTCTGGGTGGCTGAAGCAGGAAGATCACAGATTCAAGTCCACCGTGGGAGCTTAGTAACCTAGCAAGATCCTGTCTCAATGTAAGACTTCTTTAAAGGGCTGGGAATGTAGCTCAGTAGAAAGGCCCTGGGTTCAATTCCCAGTGCCCCACCCCCCAAAATGTATAATTTAGCTCAAAATTTCTGGAGGGTCAGGAGCATAGCCCCTGCTCATACTCAGCACAGATGGGGGCCTCACAGTGGATGAAATTATAATGGCGGAAGTGCTTGTAAAAGAGAACGCATGGCAAGGCAGGAAGCCAGAGACCAGGGAGAGGCCAGTATTGCTCTTATGTAACAAGTCTCTCTTGAGAGAACTAACTCACTCAGTGAGATTAGCACTGACTCCAAGGGAAGGACTCCAATTGACCTAAACGTTTTCCACTAGGCCCTGGATTGAACCCAGGACCTTGCACGTGCTAGATAAGCGTACTGCCACTGAGCCTCATCCCAGACTCCCCAGGCTGGCTTGAACTTGTGACTTGTGATCCTCTTGCCTCAGATATTCCTGTAACTCAAATACTTGGGATTATAGTAGGCCCCACCTCTTTTTTTCCAGTACTAGGAATTGAACCCAGGGATTTGTGCATACTGGGCAAGTGCTCTACCTCTGAGCTACACTCCAGCCTCCTTTTTCTTTCTTTCTTTCTTTCTCTCTCTCTTTTTCTCTCTTTCTCTCTTCCTTTTTTTTTTTTTTTTTGAGATAGTCTCTAAGTTGCCCACACTGGGCTTGAATTCGTGGTCCTCCTGCCTCAGCCTCCCAGAATACTAGGGTTACAGTATGTACCACCACAGCTAGATAAACCTCATTTTGCTTTGTTTTTTGTTTGAGATAGGGTCTCACCACGTAGCACAGGCTGATCTCAAACTCACAGCAGTCTTTCTGCTTCAGCTTCCTGAGTGCTTGGATTACAGGAGTGTAGCACCACACCTGGCTGGGTAAACCTCTTTTCTTTGTACTTTCCCAGCTTCTGTTGTTTTATTATTGCAATGGAGCATGGACTAATACAGTTTCCATTTATAATTACTCAGTAATAAAAGGAATATATGAGTGTAAACCTAACAAAAATGTATATGACTTTTATGCCAAAAACTAAAAGCATCGGTGAAAGTTTTTAAAAATCGAAATAAATAGACATACCATGTTCATTGATCAAAAGACTCAAGATGTCATTTCACACTAAATTGATATACAAGTTTAATATAATTGCTATGAATGCCCTAGCAAGAGTTTTATATAGACATAATTACTCTAAATTTATAGTGCAAGACAAAGAAACTAAAATGGCTAAATACATTTTCAAAAGACTAGTGTAAGAAATCGTTCTACCTCAAGGCTTACTACATAGCTCCAGTAAGCCTTGTGGCATGGGCAAAATAACAGACATATGTCAGTGGAACAGACTTGAGATTCCAGAGAAGTCCATACAAATAAGCCCTATGGATTTTTAACAAAGGCAGAGATGGATTTAATTTAGTGGAGCAAAGATAGCCCTTTATAAACAAAGTGATACTGGAGCCACGGAATAGGTGAAGACAAAGTAATGACCTAAACCCCATACAAAAATTCACCCTCAAAGGATGATAGACTTAAATATAAAATACAAAACTTTTGGGAAACAAATTGAAAATCTTGGATACTTCAGGCTAAACAAAGACAGCAACAGCCTAGTCTATAAGAAGAATGACTGAAAACTGATCTCTATCAATACTTTACAAAAGATCCCATTAGAAGGATGAGAGGACAAGCTTCAGAGTACAA